ACGTGGCCCTAAAAGTGAATTATAGTCTTCCCGCCGTGGACCCCCTCCTTGGTTCAAGCTCCTCTGGTCCTATATATAAATAATTTTTAACATGTTTTATATAAATTAAAATTTTTTTAAAATTTTATCAACTTTTATTTAAAATTTAATAAATTTTTTAATTTTATTTTTATTTAATATATATTATATATCAAGTAAATAAAATTAATATAATAATATATAAAGGATAAAATCATATATCAATATAAAAAATTTCTCTTGCTATCCTATAATAGAAATAAAAAATGCTTTTTCTCTCTGTCTCATAAATAAATCAAAGAAGTAACTACATGACCATAAGTTTCTCCGAACATGACTTTTTTTAAAAAAAAAATTATTAAAAATATAGTAACGTGCTAAAATCAACTTCAAACGATCAGATTCAAAATCTTCCTTCTCATCATAGTGATTATTTAGAAATGACATTTACAATCACGCTCAGAACTTTGAATTATTAATAGTAAAACGTTATTTATTAGTTTTTGTTAACTTAATTACCTCAAACACGGATTTAGGAGTTAATTATTAGCTTTTGCTTTTAGCGTCTCACCGATCATCCAACTCGATCCCCACCTCTCACAGTCGAGCGGACGCATCAAGAGGAGATGAAGGCCTGTTTCTTTTGTTTTTGTTTTTCTGTTTTCAGAATAAGTTTTGAAAACAAAAAATATAAAATTTGTTTGGAAAATAATTTTTAAAACATCACACTTGAAAAAAAAAAATATCTAAAAAAATTACACTTTAACAAATGGTAGTTATTACTGATAGTAATAAATAATAGGTAATAGCTGATAAGAAAAGCATTTTTTCATTTTTTTAAAACAACAAATAAAAAACCCAAAAACATGTAAAAATTGTTTTGATTTTTTATCTTTTAAGAACATGTTACTGTTTTTTTTCCCAAAACAATCAACTATCTGTTTTTAAAAACAGAATTTTTTTCAGAACAGGAAAAAAAAACCTAAAATTTTTATTATGTCTATTTTTAATTCACAAATTTGAGATTTTTTTTTGGCCAAACAACTTTGAGATTTTGGATTATTCTAAATGCGTCATTCACCTAAATTAACCGTGGTGATTTAGATGGGTCCGTTTAATAAGTTGCATTCGTACAATATTTTATGCCATGAGATTTACTTCTACTATTTATTATGTATTATTATAATTATTGCATAGGACTCAGGATCCTACTTTTTCCCCCTATCATTTACTTTTATTTCACGCGTCTCTAAGCAAAAAATTGTCATGGCTCAACTGATTTCTGATTTTTTTTTTGCCGGATGATTTCTAGTTATTTACACTCGTTTGTTTATATGATACTAAAACATTTTTAATCAATTTGATTAGATTAAAAAAATTAAATAAGTTAGTTAATTATAAAAAATATTATTTTTTTTTAAAACATTATAATCATCTTTCTTAATATCTTCCCTTTTTCTTCTATTTGATTACAGTTAAAGAAGTATCAATAAAAATAATTTAAAAAATTAATAAATATAAAAAATAATTCTTATATTTAGGATGAAAATCAATTTAATAGTTAAGTCTTATATTAAGAACAGGTAAAATACTACTGTGGGGAATAGGTCAAAAGTGTGATTAGAAAGTTAACTATGTAAAACCACCAAAAATTTGTTTCAAGATCTAAGTGCATGCAAGATATTTTCAGCAAATATAATTCGCCGTACTTAGCCTATAATCTATTAATTATGTGCCAGGTGCCTTTGCACAATTTCTAATGAGCAATTTTTTATTAACTTTTCCATTATTAACTAGATTGACAATATTAAGGTGGATCCGATCGAGATCCTCAGATATTTTCTCGGATGTGCTTAGACTCTAACATTATATAATGCATCTAATATTTTAAATTATTTTTTTTTATTAGTGTTAGATGTATCAAAAAATATTTTAACGTATGGGAAGTATTTTAAAAAATACTTTGAAGACATATCTTAATAATATTTAAGTCTGTTTGAAATGATTTATAAACAACTTTTAAATTATAATTTATAAAATATGATATAAATATGTAAAAAAAAATTATCTTAATCTATATAGGAAAAATTAATTTTTTAATCCTTCAACTTTTGACTCAGTTAAAACTCAGTTCCTCAAGTATGACTCGGTGCAACTCAATCTTTGAATTTTTGACTCGTTTAAAACTCAGTCCTTTATCTTTGAATAATTTATATTTTTGTCTTTTATCATGACACACTCATCTCCAATCAAACAAAGGAATTGGTGAAGAAAATCAGCAGCGGCGGTGTGATTAGGATCAATAAATTCTAGCCATTAACGCTGGTATTGATATTAACGCCCACTGCTCGCCTCCCTTCATTCTGGTAGTTGATCGCTGATTCAATCCAAGTAGCAGTCACCCCTACTGCCGTAACTGCGGCTTCTGTTACCGACACTGTTCTTCTTGTGGTTGTAGTGAGGGTGAGAGTGAGACCTGTTCTTCCCCTTGATAGCATGAGTGTTTACACATGCATTCAGTTGAACATGTGTTGTTGTGGTTGTGCTTTCCATGGTGGCCATTGCCGCCAGTACTGGCTGTGGGTCCAAATCAAGCTATGGCATCATACTTCCCTCATAGATTTTAAAAATGACCATTATTCATGGATTGAGCTTCTGGGTCTTATACTGATAGAAAACTCTTTTGAAGCGATGCGACTCATTTCCTGAGACATGAGTTGCAGTATTTTCCATGGCTTTTCTCCCAGACCTTGAGTCTAGCTAATATCCCGAAGGCAACGGGGGTATTTTGGATTGAAAATTCAAAAGATGTTCTCTACAAAAGATTAAGGGTTCAATGACTTGTTTCATACAACAACCTTGGTATATCCAGTGGCGAGTTGCGATTCTCTTCTCCAATTCCTGTGTTTGATTTCCCTTTCTTTTTTCTCTCCATGCTGATTCACATATGACATAGGCCTTGAGTCATGCATTTTTGCCACCTAGGATGATGATTGGAGATGAGTTGTCATGACAAAGCACAAAAATATAAATTATTCAAAGATAAGAGACTAAGCACAAAAATATAAATTATTCAAAGATAAGAGACTAAGTTTTAAACTAGTCAAAAGTTCAGAAATTGAGTCACACTGAGCCATATTTGAGGGATTGAATTTTAACTGAATTAAAAGTTGAAGGATTAAAAGATTAATTTTTCTATTTATATAAAATATGTTTATAAATAATTGGGTCAAATGATAACACGTGAAGAGTCACCTCACTAAAATGGAAAGGGGAAAAATTTTGCGGCCGAATCAGTTGCTTTGATCACATGGGTAGGCCCAGAAACGTATAATTACAAAATCTGGCATGCGGATTCACCGCGTAAAAGTACAGCGTGTAATATTATTATTAATTACTACTCCTCCTGTCCTAAATGTAAGACCCTTATATTAGTGTGTATAAGGGTCTTACATTTAGAACCGGAGGAGTACCTTATATTTTTTTATAAGAGTTTATTTGATTTTTATTTTAACTTTAAATATAAGATATTAATTTATTTTATTTTTTATATTTATTGATTTTTTAAAAGTAATCCTTATAATAATAATAGTTTTAACCAATATATTTGATTGATAAAGATATTTTAAAAAAGACAATATTTATTTATTATAAATAACTAACTTAACTAGTTTTCTTAGTCTATTGAAATTAGACAATTATTTTTTATACTACCTCCGGTCCTAATTATAAGACCCAGTTGACTTATTTGAGGAGATTAAGGAAGTAAGTTGAGTTAGTTATTTGTAATAAATAAGTGTTGTCATTCCTAAAATATCCTTGCTAATTAAGTATATTGGTTAGAACTATTATTATTAGGAGGATTATCTTGGAAAAAAATGCATAAATATGATAGACAAAATGGATTGGGGTCTTATAATTAGGACCAAACAAAAAGTCAAACAGGGTCTTATAATAAGGACCGGAGGTAGTATTACGGATTTGAGATAGTATTAATTAAGATTTGTATGTTTTATTAATTAATGACTTCCTAGAGCTTTAGAATCATACGAGCATCATGACCAGTGATTAGTGAGGAACAGTAAGTTCGTGTAGAATCATGATTTACGATCATACTTCCCAAAAAATAAGGAAGAAAACAAGAAATTGAAACGTGAAAGGGACAAAAAGAAGTGGGGATTCAGACATAAACGAGTGGTGCCTAATATTTACGAGTCAGCTTGAGATTTCAGAGGAAGAAGACAGGAAAAATCTTTGGAAGTTTCGTGGAGCCTTCAAAATATTCACATGCCGCCTCTTTATAATTCCGTCCATCCACCACATTCTAGCGACCCTCCGCCATCCACAACACTACAGACACTTGTACGGTTAGCTTTTTCCACATCCCAACCCTTGGCAGCTTCTTATCTTGCTCCCAAATTGACCTCTCATTTAAACGGTTGTTAGATCAATCATTAGTGAATTAATAAAACAATCTCTCTCTGTTTTTTTTTTAAAATCTAGTTATCATCATTAAAAAATTTTAAATATCAATATTACATATAACAATAGAAGTTCAAGGTTAGAGGGTGATTAAAAACATATTATGTTCAGTATATATTAACTAACTTCCTAGAGTTACCTTGCAGAAGCATGCCTTTATAAATTAAAAAGAAAAATTGGAAAGGGGCATAGTGATTATATAATAGAGGTTTGATTGTAGAAGGAAGAGAATGGTCACACTCATTGCTCAAGCGTAGATGGCGATGATTCATTAATCCGAGTGTCCCTTCATAATGCAATGGATAGGACCCTATGAAAAAGACGGCCTCTGCCTTGCTTGACAAGTGATATCTCCCTTGTACATATATTTATGAGTCAAAGAAGTAGATGATGAGAAGCTACTTCCATTTAATCATTCTCCATTTTCAGGATTTTATTATAATAACAAAATATCATCACCGGCTATTTTCTAATTATATATACTCTATTTTGCCAAGCACCCAAGAATTTAAGAGAATCGAAAATGTGATCCTTTGAAAATTTGAGCTTTACTTGTGTTTGGAAAATTCTCTGCTTGGAACTTAATTTAATGGAAAAGAAACCGAACAAAACGAGAAGGAATTGGTTGAGGACTGCAGATATGGTTGTATCGAATTCAGGAATCTCATCATCAGCGCACCTTTTGCTTTGTCCGTTTCACAACTGAAACAGTATATGTGGCCTTATTCTTCTTTTACTTTCCTTCCTCCTCCCCTCTCTCTCTATATCTACTTGTGTGTATGCTTCTAATTGAATAATCAGGGCTCAGCTTCTAGCTCAAATATTGGGTGCTTCGGAATTGTTAATACAAGTTTGTTATCCAGTGATTAGGTAATCTTTTTTCCCTCCTACTCCTTTTTTCTTTCACTTTCTAGGAGCTATTCTTTTTCTTTTTGACCTTTGATCAGAGTAAAAATCTGTGCTTCAGGGTCTTCCTTCCTTGTCGTGGGCTCTCTTCAGTGAGTCTTGCCGTTCGTTGTGCTGGCCGTCCAATTTTAACGACTTCGACTCTGATTTTTGAGTCTCACGTGAGCATATTTCAGTTACCTGAAACCTCTTATCCAGCTGATTCTTCTTCTCTATCTGTCTTTTCCTTTTCTCAAACTTAATTTTGCACAGTCTTACTTGGTTTGTCCATCTCCTTTCATGATGATGACGATGATGGTCACCAAGGTTCTCAAATTTGTTCCTTTCTGTTCTTATTTCGGGAGCACGTTTCCATGAATGTATTTTCGCAGGATTACGGTCACCTGTGTTCTCAAATTGTAGTCAAATTGTCACTTTCCTCTGTAGTTAGATGCTGAATTTCTCGCCCTCGCTCAAGTTGTGCTTCATACGTTTTCAAAATCACAGATGGGAACAGTTGAGAAAAATCGTGCATTTTCACGTCATTCTTTTGTTTATGATTATGGTGTTTCTATCTTGTCAAGGTAGTCTGATAATTCAGCACCTACATGGAATTTGAAGGCATACAATTCAGCGCCTATACTTGTTTATGTTGATTCGTACGAGATATGGTTGCAAAACTAGTAATAATCGCGTAGATTGTTGAGTTGAAATTGTTTTTGATCTTCTGCAAATGCTCAGTTATTCCAAATTGTTATGCCGCCACAGTTTTATATTCACACTTAACGGTTTTCTTGTCGTTTTTTAAGCTGCAGCCATTGTCTTAAGAATTGCACCGACATAGAAGTAGGTCAGCAGTTGCTGCATTTTGTGCCAATCGTATGCATCAATTGTAGAGCACTATGACTACTACTCCATCCATTCCTTCTGGAAAACAGATTCTCTTGGAGGTATTTTCTGAAAATTTTATTCTGTTTTAGTTCTATGAAAAATTCCCTTTTTCGATACTCTAAAACTTGATACTATGGTATGATCAGATTGGGAATACAGAAAAGCAATTGTGGGCGTTGATCCATTCTAAAGGCCTATTGCACAATGATACACAAGAATTGTACCAGAAAGTCCGTTCTAGTTATGAGAGAACAATCCTGAATAATCACACGCTTTCTGAACTCCAAGATGTTGAATATTCTTTGTGGAAACTTCACTACAAGCACATTGATGAATTTCGCAAAAGGATAAAGAGGGGATCTGGTAATGCAGAGAACACAAAATCAGGAGCAGCGCAAAATGATTCTGTGCTGAGAAACACTGACATTCATCTAAATGCATTCAAGTCATTTCTGTCAGAAGCTATTGAGTTTTACCAAAATCTGATTGTAAAACTCAGAGAACACTATGGAGTCTCAGAAGATGCTTTGTTTTATAAAAAGGGTTGTATCTCTAGTTCAATTGAACCAGATGCCATGCTGAAATGTCAATATTTATGCCATCGCTGTTTAGTTTGTATGGGCGATCTTGCTAGGTATGAACAACAATGTGAAAATCCTGATATTCATACTCATAACTGGTCAGTTGCTGCCACCCATTATTTGGAAGCAACAAGGATTTGGCCAGATAGTGGAAATCCTCATAATCAGGTACTCTTATCACATAGTCCATTGCATTGTACATTTAAATGTGTTATAAGAAGAGAACATTTTTTGTCATCTACTTTGTTCCTACACCAGTAACTGTGTTCATTTGCAGTTGGCTGTATTGGCAACATATATTGGTGATGAATTTCTTGCTCTTTACCACTGCATCCGGAGTTTAGCTGTTAAGGAACCTTTTCCTGATGCCTGGAACAATCTTAGTTTATTGTTTGAAAAGGTAAGATGATCTTGAGGCTCTTAATGAACTGTGCCTATCCATATGATTTATGTTTCTGGGCCATCACCTCATGTGTCTCTTAAAATTTTGCAGAACAGGTCATTTGATCTGCCTTATGTTTCCAGTGAAGCCAGCAGCATTGATTTCTCAAAACCTTCTGACAGCAGTGATCAGACTAAAGCCCGGCCTAAAGGTGATGGCCTAAATAATATGTTCAAAGGCCAAAGTAATCACGTTACAGACACAAAGTTATGGTCATTTATGGTCAGAACAATAGGCTTCTTCTTCATAAAATCAAGGTACATTTAGGATTCAATTTATTTTGTCCGAGAGTTTTCTTGGCATTATGTCCATCATTTTAACTTAAATTTTACCACTTTGTTGTGAATTCCAGTCATGCATATTTATTAATTATGGTATCCTCAGACACTATCCGCAGTTTAGAAATAATTGTGATGAGAATTATTGAAAAGTTTTGCTGCGTAAGGTTTCTAATTGCCTTACTTTGTGCATTTTTAATAATGTAGCAGTTTTGACGAATTCCCAATGGTCTTGGCTTCTACTATCAGAGAGTTGGATAGACTGTTGGAGCTAGGAGATATAGAACTAAAGACCCTGTTAGAGTCCTATGAACAAGTAAATTTAGCCAGAAGAGGTCCCTTCCGAGCCATACAAGTAGCTGCAGTACTCATCTTCGTCCTAAACCATCTAGTTGAGCCCCTAATGAAGAATGAACCAAAAGACGGAAATGAAAGACAGTTTCCGGTGCTGATACAGTTGGCATTATGTGCTGCCTTCAGTTTCATGGGACGTTTTGTTGAAAGATGCCTAAAGTCTAATCCATTGCATTCTTGTCCCTTACTGCCATCTGTACATGTTTTTGTGGAATGGACTGCAAGCATGCGTGATTCACTAGAAGTATATGCAACTGATGAAAAGAGTAAGGGTGCAATGTCTTACTTTTTCGGAATGCTTCTTGATCTTCGAAACCAACTTAGCACCAATGGAAGGGAGACCACGAAATTTTTAGATAAAGCCCCTCTGTGGGAAGATTATGAATTGAGGGGCTTTTCCCCTGCAGCATGCGTGCATGTCTCATTAGATTTTTCTGGTAATTGGGAGCACATAGACAATTTTGAAAGTGGCATTGAACTGCGCACTCTGCGCATCAGAAATGCAGCAATGAAAATTACAGGCAGATCAAGTGACTTGCAAACGAGGATCTTATGTGATGAATTAGGAACAAAGTTTCATGTGGGTAGATTAGATGATAGTGATGTAAAGAAGGATACAGGAAATATGGAGTCTGATTGCAATAGTAAAAAAGTGGAAGAGTCTGATCGGCAAAATCATAGAGATGAGGAGGTACGTGGCAAACCCACGACAAGCAATGAACCAGGTAATTCCAGTACCAATGGGAAACTTGCTGCGGTGGAAGAAGAAGAAATTATACTCTTCAGACCCCTCGCAAGATATAATTCAGCACCTTCATACCCTTCTGTTCCTACAAATGATCGGACATCACCAAAAGACAAGGATGATCACAGCCTACATTCTGATGATTGTTTGCGCCGTGCTACATCACTACTCATGGCTCAAAACCAAACTCTCAGTAATCCCATGGGATTTCATGCTGATATCGAAAATTTCAGGAGCAACAAAGCGTTCACACAAGCAGAAACTTCAATGAAGGAATCAAGTGGCCACAGTTCCCCTCGAGGCCCAATCTCTGCTGGCCCTCCATCACTCAATGCGTGGGTCCTAGATAGAGGAAGCTTTAGCAACAACAATAGAGACAAAGGGACAAATGATATTAGTGAGCACAGATTGGAGCCTATTCAGGAATTAACATCTGCATCCCTGGCTGGTCTTTCCATCAATGGATCCAAGGATTCCTCCATCAGTACTTCATCGAATCAATCTCCAAACTTCCATCCATCTTCTCCTACGTATTCCAATCCAGTTCCTTCTGCTCCATTGTTGCCAGAAAATGCTGCTTGGTTTGCTGACATACAATCTAGTGGGTCTACTCCATTGATGCCAAATATTCCATCACCTCCAATTAGTGGCTATGCAGATTTAAGTCCTACTTATGGACCAGTTGGTTATGATCCTTCTTATCCAGCATTCGCAAGTGGATATGCACCGACTCGCAGAATGACATCTTCAGAATGGTTGCGTTGGTATAGAGAGAATTATAGCCATGAGAGGGCCAATAATCTCATGCAGCCTACCCACTACAATGTCTCTAGAAATCCTGAGAACTTCCTTTATCATGACCCTTACAGGTTTGCTCAGTTTGATAGATGGGGAAATCCTTTAACGCCTAAACAGTACACATACATGGAGCCCCCAGCGCCACCATCAACATTGCTGCCAAGTTTTGCTTCTGCTATGGGGCAACAAGGCGAACAGATGAGCAGTCCCTTTAACAATTTCCAAAGAGCAAGTCCTTATGGGTGTGGTGCTGTGAGAAATGAGCCTCAGCCTCTGATAGAATTCCTTAAGGAGAAGGAATGGCGAATCCAGCGAGATCCTACCCTCAGAGAGCCTACGTTCATGGGAAATTAGAAACTCCGGTCATGAGAGTTTTAGTTTGATCACTTGAAGACTGTAAACCTTACTTTGCTTTTACTTCAACATCAGAGAACATCAAACTGTAATGTATGTAGATGTTTTTCCGGTCAAAAAAAAAAATGTATGTAGATGTTTCAGTTTTCACTTTTAGATAAAGTGCGCAAGAACCTTCAGAATTCATCCTCCTTCATGTACATTCACACTCAATAGTGAACGTTAGTTTCGCAAGAAAGCTCAAGGTATGGCATGGTGTAGGGTATCCTTCTTTTTCTTTTTTCTTTTTGGTTCGCTTGTTTTTCAGGGTTATGTCATCTCCGGGGAAGCCGTCCCTCATCTCTCGGAGTCGCCGGCATTGCATGATTAGGTGCCAAATATGTGTCCTTTCTAGAACTGGTTTTCTCCCTAACGAGAATGTGTTTTTTTTCCCCCTCCAAATTTAAATTTAATACTGTTAATTTGTTGCGTAATTGATTACCAATTTTACTTTAAATTTTTCCTTTTAGACCAGAAATTATACTTTCAAATTACACACCTTAACTCACGTGGGTTACATTTTGCTATGTACTACTTCCGGTCCTAATTATAAGAGCTGGTTGACTAATTTAAAGAGATTAAGAAAAGAAGTTAACTTAATTATTTGTAATAAATAGGTGTCTTTTTTAAAAATATATTGGTTGGAACTACTATAGTTAGAAGGACTATCTTTAAAAAAATGCATAAATATGAGAGACAAAATGGATTGAGGGCTTACATTTAGAACTAAAATAAAAGTCAAACGAGATTTTATATTAAAGATTGGAGGTAGTATTGTTATCTTGAGTCTTGAGATATGATAAAGGTGTGGTAAGGAGGGCCAAAAAAAAAAAATAAAACACTCAACAAAAAAAAAATAAAAGAACATATCAATATGGCGAGATTCTTTAAAATTTCAATCATATATACATGAGATAAATTCTTGGGAAATACCATGGTATCTTCATTCTACAGGCCAAATAAATTGACCCCAAATCAATAAAATCGGCTTTGATTGGGGGGGGGGGGAGAGAGAGAGAGAATGAAAATAGGATGAAAAATAAAATCTTCTTTTCTTGATTTACCGGGTAGAGTACAGACAATGTTGTATATTCTATAAGTATCTAAAGTTTTTTTTTTTCATGTATGACGTCAAATATACTAATTATTACATGAAAAATTGAAAATTCTTTGGCGATTGTCGGCCTACATTGCTGCCTCTAAATTTTCCGATTCCACAGGCCAATGCCATATAGCCCGAAATAATACGTGCTCTATTGCGGCCTTTTACTTGTCACCCACAATCTCTTGAGCCTGCCCCAATATGATAATTTATCAAATAAAGAAAAGGAAAAATGACAATTATGGTTTTTGAAAAATTGTTACAAAAATTGGAAACTACCATCGATCTCCAACTCTCCGCAGTCTTCTTTGCGGGGCAATCGCAATTTCCGATCTCTGATTGCAAGATGGACAGCATAGAATCCGATAAGGGGGACGTTTCGTCCGCCAAAGCAGTTCTCCTTGGTGCTCTAGCTCCTGGTGTAAACGTCCGTGCTTTCATTTGTTCTCGTTATGAAGTTTCAGCTGTTTTGCCTGCTTGTAACTTTTGTTTGTGTTTGCTCTTTTGAATTTGTGAGGGGTTTTTGATCTTTTCCCTTTTCTTGTTTCAGGGTCCTACATGGGTTACATTAAAGTCGACTTTTTTAATGCTGGGTCTGTGTCTGGCTGTGATGCTGGGCTTAGCATTCTCTTCAAGTGATTCGTCCTTGATGCTTCATGTTGCGTTCCTTGTTTTAATCTGTGTCTCCCTCTTCTTACTTCTTACCTGGTACGGTTCTATGATCCTTATCTGAAAACCAACAAATCTATCTCAATATGGTTCTCCTTGTTGGGCTTGATACCTACTGAACCTGGGATTTTAGCTCTTTGAATCAATGCATCATGTTGGATTCCATTTTCTTTTAACACATATTTGTTATCTATGGGATTGCCAGAGTTCTATGACATTAGTGAATACAGATTGGACCTTTTAGTATTGTCTGAAACTAGGCCAATTACAAACAGGTGGAATTGATAGCTTCTGCTGGGCTGGTTCGGATATTTTGAGATACAAAGTACATGTTGTCGGTAGTAATTTGTTTATGCACTTGTGCTGGTGGAGTAGGGGACTGAGAATAATATGAACTCATGAGGTACTTAAAAAGTTGTACCCTGCGGTCACACTCTTTCTCACAATTTCATTTTATGGACGATAAACTTATCCTTCTGTAATGGTTGGCACAATTCTGTATATGTCCTTTATTTATGTGAATAAGAACTAAAGTGTTTCTCCTTCATTCATTAGGTATTTTCTTGGACGATAAAATCTCATTAAATAGTTTAGTTAGCCATGGCACACTTTCTTCGGCTAAACACTTGCACATTTCAGCAGGGATCATTTGGAAAAATTTATAATAAGCCAGGCCCTTGACATTTGTGCGATGGCCCACTTGTTGTGGCTATCATGTTTGAAATTCGACCTCACGAAGTTAATCTACCTTGATTTTCATTCCCATAGGTGTTTTTTGCTTCTGTGGGTGTTCTTAGTCGTGTAGCTAAAATTCTTGGTACAGAAGTAGAAGGAACTCATCCGTCTGAACCTGGGATTCAGCATCATGGCTGTTGATGGTGATTTTGTTGATATTTATTTATGTTAACAATAGCATAGATATTTTTGGGTAACCTTTTTTGGGGGGCTCAGTTACCATGAGCAATAGTATTCATGGAATTGATTGTTGATTATTTGGAATTTAGCATTTTTTAATTCTCGACCAGGTGTTTAGAGATATTTATTGACTTGAAAGATCTGGATCCTGAATTGCATACCCTGATGAGTTTCAAATGCTGGCTAGTCATAATATGCACTCATGTTTATGCATCCCAAATTCCAAGTTCCGAACCTGCGCTAACATACATCAATTGAAATAAAGACATGCATGCTATGTGATGAACTTCTTTCTTCTTCTTCTTTGTGTTTCCTAGAGAGAGAGAGAGATTCACTTTTTATTATCGTGGCCTTGATAAAGTTGATTGATGCATTTTCCCTCAGGTTTCTTGCAGAAACTGGTTTAGTTTCTGTTGAGCATCAAATGCGTGAGATAGGCTTGGCGCAAAGTGATAATCTAGAGACAAGCAGAAAGAACAAATAGGCATTTTCTTGTGGTATTACAATAGAACAACTTGATATTATTTGAGGCTGGAAGGCTTACGTGAGTTAGAGGGCATTTCATGGAGACATGTTTGTGGGAAGGGGTTTCTGATGAATTGCTTCTTTGTATGAGTCGAACAGCCAGTCAATATTCCTGCAGCATTGCATGAGAAAGTCAAACTAGCTGGAGCAGTATCATCCCTCCCAATCAACTGGGCCTTCCTTCTTATGATGCTTGAAATTCTGTTTGATTATTACATTCATTGTATCCTTAAACTCCATCTTTTGCTGTTTCCTTCACAGGGGAACCATACTGCCACACTCTTCTACATCAATTTGATGTATGCAAGATTTAAGCCAAAGTTCTCTTGACTGAGGAACCAAACATATGTCCAGGCGCGCACACAGAGCCCCCCCCCCTTTTTTTGAACAGTTGAGCTTAAGCCACTGAGTTTGACAAGGTCACAAAAAAGAACTATGAGCAGCAAACGAACTGCAGTAAGAAATCCATTAATGAATGGGAGGACACAGCTTTATACCAATTAAGGAATGCGATTAATCAATATAATAGAGATGCTGGTAAATGGCAGTAAGATCAGGAAGATGATAGAGGGTACAAATTACAGTAGTGCACCCATTTCTAAAATGTTGAAAGTTGTCAATAAAGGTTGTTTTTAGTTAATGAGGTGACTCATAACTCATCGAGCTCTTGATGGGAAATTTGTAACAAAATTTTGTTAATTGTTGTCATGTGATGGAAAGAGAAGTGAAGAAGTGAATGGATTGTCTCATTAACACTGAAGAGTACATCTCTTCCATAGATATTTGTACACAGTTCTAGGGCTGCTCACGGGACCGGGATCGGGACTGGGACAGGCCCGTTTCGATAAACAGTAACGGGACAACAAAATTGTCCCGTGTCTCGTCCCGTCCCGGTGTTATCCCAATCCCGATTAGAATGAGACAGGACCGGGACATCCCGATATAATCTTTTTTAATTTTTTTGAGTTGTTGGATACAATAACATTTGATTTTTTTTTCTTCTAATGGTAGTTTTTTGGGCTTAGCCGTTGTAAAAACATCTTTTCGTTTTCTTTTTTACTTCTTTGGATACTCTTAAACAAAAGCCCAAAATATTATATATAATAGCCATTAAAAACTTTAAATAAAAGCTTTGAACACGATAAAAACTTGTTGGAAATTCTAATAATCAATAGTCTCAAATTATCAACAAATATAAAAGCTCTAAATAAATAGGTCCATAGTTTCATACAATAGTCTCAAATTTTAAAAAAATATAAAAAAAATGACATTATATAAATATGATTAAAAAAATAAAAGGGACCAGGACGGAACGATCTCATCTCGCGTCCCATCCGTCTGATACCTTTTTTTTGTCCGTTTCGAAAAATTTCGGAACGGGCCTGTCCTGTTCTTATAAGGCAGGCGAGGACCAGAACAGACTGATTAGGACGGGCTTGTGTTGAACACCCCTAGTACACACGAGTCATATCTAAGTGAATTAAGCAAGTTACGACGGAATGGTAGAGTTGTAGCTAAGCATGAGCTAGATATTTTGCTCCAACATCTTCTCTCAATTTGACTACCCTTCTAGACGGCCTCTTAGACTTAAAATATCTCTTAGAAAATAAACTCTGTGAAAGAGCTTTGGTCAGTCCATCTACTACTTGATTAGCACTTGGGGCGCGTTGCACCCGGAGCTCCTTTTTATTGCTCTTTCTGAGACAAAATGAAGATCTAATTCAGTGTGCTTAATTCTGGCATGCAGAATTGAATTTGCTGTCATCATGACAATACTAAAATTGTCACTTAAGTGCCTAGTCAGAACAACATAAAATTCTGGCCAAAGACATGGGTTAAGACATGTCCTAAAGTATTTTTTGACGCATATAATACTTTAAAGTATTTTTTTAAGAGTGTTTAGTATCCTGAAATATTTTCTAATACATCTAACACCTTGAAGTATGTTTTAGGTGCATCCATCATTCTAAAAAATACTGAAAAAAATACTTTATGGTGCTTAATATATATTTATTTAACAAACTTTTTAAGGAGTTAATAATGGAATTAAAACTGCTCATGAAATAATACTTTAAAAGCACAACTGCTTTCAAAAAATTTAATCTTTTAAGAATAAAATTACATCACAAAATATTTTAAGATATTGGATGCACCTAAAAAATATTTCAGGATGATGAACACACTAAAAATATTTTAGGGTATTTAACATATTTGACAAAATATTTAAGGATGCTGGAAAAATTTAACTCCAAAAGACATTTACTCCACAAAACTTTTGTCACATACAGTAGAGGCCATGCTCCGGTACTCAGCCTCGAATGTGCAACTGTGGCTTGCTTTTTAGATGACCAGGCTATGAGATTACTACGAAAGAGAGAATTTTGAATTCAAGTATTGTAAACAAAAAATTATCCTAAGAGAGAACTTTTCTACTTAGAATACAATGTAGCTTAAACCTGAATTATTCAATAACATTGAATAGTAATAGTTGTTTCCTTCGAGGGAAACAAAAAAATTTGATAGGATTAATTTCAAACAGCGTGAAATATTAAATTTAGATATATTAGTATCACCAGCATGTTTTAAAGACATTCAGTTTCGTTGACTGTGTTTCTTGAGGTTCTTGCTTGGCCTTTCGTTCGGTGGCTTCCTTATGAGATTAATCCCAACTTTGTGTTTGGTTTCACAAGGAAAAGAGAAGAAAAGAATTCCTTTTTTTTTTTTTTTGGATAATGAGAAGAAAGAAATTTTAATAAATGAGGATGAGAGGAAAAGATAGACTGTAATAATCCCTCCAGAAGAGCGATTAATGTAGGCCATTAATGCGGGGGGTTAATTTTAAGTTTTGACGTCAACTCTGCAATTAATGCACTTAAAAGAAAGCAAAACTCAATAATCAATTTATCTAAAAAATTATATTTGATAATTGACTAATTTATACAAATTTTTTTAAAAATAATTTATTTATTTATTTGTCATTAATATGTCAATATTTTATCATAATTTTCCTAAAATATCCCTCCATTTAATTCAGTTTATTTTCTTTGTAACGTGGAATTTTTATGACAAAATAGGCATAATTTTAGGGGAAAAATTAATTAATGAGGTTAATAAAAATGACTGAGTTCTTATAAATGAGATCAAAATAAATTAATTATCTAATTTTTATATCTAAAATAGGACGTAAAACTAATGCCAGATGTATATTGTGTGAAGTCAAATAAGGATAATTAATTTTTTTTAATCGACGCAATCAAAGAAAAACTAATTATATCTAGAAAGAATACTTTATCTGCTGACACCCTGCTTCCATGCTTCTGGGAAGCATGAGAATGAAATGGATTAAAGAAATAAAAAATAAAAAAAGAACAATAATTTTTAGTGGAAGATTGGAGAGGTGTGCTCTTACATTTTCATGATAAAAAGAAGAAAAAGTGAGTTATTAATTTTATTAAACCTTATGAAATAAAAAAAATTAATAAATTAACATGATCTGACATGGCATTTCAGCATTAGTCAAAATGGTCCTAAATTTTGTTACTTCTTTTATGTACGGATATTTATATGATAGTCACTATTTTTTTTAAAAGAAATCTTTTTGCCAAAAGTACGAAAATTAAAAGATTAGTACCTAGGAGACACGTGGCCCTCATGCCGTACACTTCTCCCCGTACGGATCTGGGCTCACATGAAGAAGCATTACAAGCCAAGCCAATGACAATTAAAACATTTTAAATATTAGCTGAGCGTTTCCACTGTATCAACATCAACACTAAAATTGATAATACAAATATTAATTTTCTTTATTTGATTTTTTATTAATATTTACAAATTATGAATAATAATATTTAATTATTAAACTCTATATGACACATAAAAACACACTAGTTCCTCATTTGACTTTCTGACATTTAATACAATTGAGATAAATTTGAGCATTGCCAGACTTGGTTTATTAAATTATAATGCCATACAAATTATCTGTAAGTGCTATATATTTATGATATTTTAACCGAGTGAGTGACGAGAGGGAAAAAGAACTATTGGAATTAAGACATTGATGATATATAATTTTGAATTTATTGTTCTGCAGCCATTTCTCTCTCCCTCTCTTATTAATTTCTTAAACCGATTTTGTTTGCTTGTTCCCTTTATTTAGGCATTCTTTTGCATGGCGCTGGCGCTGTCCCTTGCCGTTTGGCTCACTCTCACTCTTCTTTCTTCTTAGTTCTTACGTTTCACCTAGAAAACCCCATTCGCCTTCCTTCTCTGATTCTCCCAATATCATTCGCTCTTCTTTCAGCTTTCAATTGCTTTACTGTTCTTCTTTTTCAGCTTTCGTTGGTGATCATGGCCTCGTCTCTCCACTGGGACCCCGATAAAATGTCGGTATAGTTCTTCAAATAAGACCGTTTTGTTTTCTTGCTTTCATGGGTTACTGTTCTCACTTCTCTGACTCTGCTCTCCGCGTTTTTTTTGGTTCAAATTGCTGAATTTTGAGTTGCTTTTGATTCCGTTTCGTAGGCTTCAACTGTACATTTTGGATTATATGAAGAGAAGGGGAATGGTGAACACCGGACAGAAGTTATTGATGCCAAGTGTGCGTCAATGTTATTCAAGGGTTTTCCTGGTTGATTTTGTTCTGCTTCTGCATTGAAGAATTTATAAAGCTAAGTAGGTATCTCTGGAATGAGGTAATTCCTCACCTGGCCTTTTCTTTCGAATATCCGTCTTGGCATATTTTACCGATTCACGGACTTGCCCTATTAGTAATACATGGCATTCCGGTGAACCTACAACTTTCAGTGTTTCTGCTTAGTTGGTTTGGAATTGTTGCCGTAAGTTGGTTATATGGCTAAAAGCATAAAATTTTGTAATCAGTGATTCAGTCTCGAGAAGGATTCCTGCATGAATGGTGGTCTGTTTTCTATGACGTGTATACCTCAAGGAGTCTGAAGCATCAGGACATTGGGCCAGAAGCCTCTAGTGATGTGGTAACGTGATGCTCATTGTCAGATGGTCGTAACTTGAGCTGCAAGGTGGTGCGTTCTAATAATATGCTTTCAATTTTCAGGTTCTCCAAAAGACCAATAATGGAAGAAGAAATCTCCCTCCTAGAATCCCTCAGCTATCTAAGCAGAGGCATCAACTGCTTCAAATCGACCCCGCCATTAACAAGATGATGGAGCAACCGGCTGCCTGTTTGTTAACACCGGAAGTTTACGAGAGAGAGTGTATCGGATATCTAGCTGAAGATTCTGATCCAAGTTTACAACTTATCGATGCAAAGAGACGGAAGTTTGTGGTACAGTCAAGAACAGTCACTTTTTTTTTTTTTAAAAGAAACCTTTTGATCTACAGTGACCCTAGCCATATTGTTATTCTACTTCATCCTCCTATATTGTTGGTTTACAAATGAAAATTTCAAATATTTGATGAGGAATTCATTTTGTTTTAGATTTATGAGAGCACGTATGCTGTATTGACTGAATGATGATTAAAGACACTTCACTTCCTTTTTCTTATGACTAAATTTAATTCTGTTTACCGTGATATCCATTCACAGCTAGATATTGGAAAGTAGGTCCATAATCCATTCTTAAAGGTCTGATTCGATTGTCCAACATAGCAGTAGCATAATGAATATTACAATCATAGGACTTTACATAATAACTCTAATTTGTTGATGCTTGCAGGATAGTGGAATTGGCATTCAGCTAAGCAGCAATATACCCCCGGACCCCCTGGGGAAATTACAAAGAGGTATTTGGCCTTCAACTGGACCACACCAAACAAGTTTTTCTTGAATCTGAATCCATGTTCTTGAATTTTCCCAGTCCGGAAAGACTTGCTGCGTGGCATAACTCATTTTCTTCATTGTCTGGCTTCTGAAAACATGTTAAACTTCACCTACTCCCCTCCTCCTTGGGGGAAGAAAATACATTTCTTTGTATGTTTAGAAAGATAGAAATAATGATACTCTACTGTGTGCCTCATTCATAGTTTGCTACTCCTTTGAAAGAGACATTGCTGTATTTGCACAGAAGTCCTTCCCTCCAGTTTGCTTCTTTTTCCCCTTCAACAGATTATCTTACATTACTATGGGCATAATGGTTAATTATCTTTTCAGGAGTTAATGAAGGTCTCAATGTGGTGCCGCTAAATGGATATCCTTTAAATGTAGGTGATGCAGTATATGTTGTGGGACCTTTTGAAGAAAAATTCCATTATGTAACAAGTTTTTTTTAATAGTTTCTTTAAGTGCACAAGTTCATAGTTAGTGTTATCTCATTGTTGACCAAAGATCTGGCGGGACCGCTGGAGCAGGTACTCACTTCACTTCTGCAAGCACCAAACTATCAGCAACAATTTCAGGAGCTAGGTACACAAAATCAGCAAGCACTTGCATGTACACCTAGGAGTCAGACATCCATATGTCTTAGAAACTCTTCTATGTGCAACAGTCAAGATCCAAGAATTCCCCTGGTTGAAACTGATTTTTGTAAAGATAGGCAGGTTAGTGGATTCATTGACTTTTAGTATTCACTGGTCAATATTTCTGAAGGTGTCTCCCTCTTCCATTTGATTCTGAAAAATGATTTGACATTGTGATGCAAGGGGGATAAGATCTTGCAATGACACGAAATTGCATGAACTTAAAGGTAGTTTATAGCCTTTGCTAGTTGATAGCAGTTATTGGATGCTAGTTTGAACTTGTAAAATTCAATGCTTTTGTAAACGGGGAGGAAACGCCATGACTTATGCTTTTTGACATGTTTTAAAGAATAATAATCCATACAAAGGGTAAACCAACTAGCTTCAATTTTATGTTTGTTTTGATAGAACCATGAAAACCAAAATTTTGAGAACAAGAAATTGAATTTAGGAGTTACTTATTCCATTTCTACACTCAATGAATGCATTTAAAGGCATTCCCCTTGTTGAAATTCTGATTTTATAAGTACACTCTCTAAATGTATTCCTATTTTCTGATAATTCTTCTTTCCATGTTTTACAAATGATAGGACTGTATGAATGCAGCAGATGGTAGACCTGTAGATAAAATCATTGTGCCTTTGTTTGATGAGAATGAACATGCCGATCAAAGAACTGGACCTTCCAGGAATCAGAAACTTATTTTTGCGACATGTAATATGAGGAAAGGTGGTATATCTATGCACCTATGATATAGCTGTTGATCTCTTTATTTGAATGTTGTGCTGAGATTAATCTTAAATTAAATTATTTTGATTTATTTTTGTCTTTTGCTAGATTATTCTTTTGCTCTGTCGCTGGTTTCTTTCTTTTTTTTGGGATCAATGATCAAGTGGTGAAATGTTGGAATGTTACAAGTTGCAATAATTTTGGATAAGTGTTTATCCTGTCACATTTTTCCAATCTGGCAGGATTTTCATTTGAAGAGGTTGGTTGTCTTCACTCAAGCAAAAGCAAAGTTTTGTCCTGCCATTTTTCGTCTGATGGGAAGGTTTTAGCAAGTGCTGGTCATGAGAAGAAGGTGTTTTGATGCAACCAATTTAGCTCACAAGTTCTGATCCATTGTCTATGTCTTGGTAGTGTGTTCATGACCGATTGTAATTTTGATGACAGGTTTTTATTTGGAATATGGAAACTTTTGATTGTGTTAGTACTTCAGAGTCACATTCACTTCTCATTACTGATGTTCGGTTCAGACCAGGTTCAACCATATTTGCAACATCTTCTGCTGATAAAACTGTAAAAATATGGGATGCGGCCAAAGTAAGCTGTTAACTTATCATTGTTCTCTTGGTTGCATTTCCTGCGAGCGCCCACCCACACGTACACACACATTTCATATTGTTTAAAAATATTGATAAACTTTACCTCCCTTCCCCTCCTGTTCTACGTTAAGTATCTTCTCTGTTTTTCTTTTGTTTCTTTCCACATTCTCGATCCTCTGCATTTGAGTTTATGAACACTTTAATGAAAGCTCTATGCTTTGATTATATATCTGGCAGTCGTTTCTGTTTAAGTTATGTCATATTTTTCTTAATTTGGATTTTAAAGACACCTTCTGATGCTCTTCTTTAATTGTACAATAATTGTTTCACTCTGCCTAAACATTTTGTTTTGTGACTTCAGATATGAATTTCCCACGTCATGCATTTTACTGATATGAACCAATATAACATAGTTAAGTTTGTGTATTTTGAGATCACTTTAGAATTGGTCAATATAATTTTTTTTTTTTTTTAACATTATAGCCGAACAAATCATTGTTTGACCTTCCTGGGCATGCTGAACAAGTAATGTCATTGGACTTCCACCCAAGAAAGATGGACCTTCTTTGTTCCTGCGATAGCAATGGCATAATGCGGTTATGGAATGTCAACCTAGGCGTTTGTGTGCGTATAAATAAGGTTAGTTTTCCCCGTATGAAAGAAGATTAGTTTCATGACATTTTTCTTTCATAATTATTATGCATGGATGTCTTTGCAAATGTCTTGACTAATGCTAGACAATGATCGATTTTATCCGAGAAGTTCACTTTGCCAAACTTCTAAATGAAAATGTTCTTTTTCTTTCGTTTGTTTAATGAACAGAATTTAATGAAGAAGCCACACCTTAAATTCTATTACAATTTTAATAAAAATTTTGGGTTAATAAGATTTTATTGCCAAAGAGGTAAACTTGCATGCACAAACTCTCCTACAAACAACCTAATGGCTAATTCTAGTAAGTTAAAATACAATTAGAACTATAATTTTTTGAATGGCTACTAGCAAATCTATACATCAGACTATAACTTATTTTTCTTATCAATCTCCAGTTTTCTACGGTACAATTTTGAAAAATAGTAGCATTTCTCTCTTACCAAATCCAGTAGATAGTTGCTGTTAGTACTTAGTACTACTCTTCTAACCCTTGCTAGAAATCTCTTCCCATTCCCTCTCCTACATAACCAGCTAACTTATCTAGTTCAACAATGAGGGCCACTATAAATTTTACACCTCATGAGAAAATCTTTCTAAATATCTTGACAGAAGCAACAATAAAAGAATAGCTGAACTATATTTTTCTCCTGTTGATTACAAAAGCAACAAACAACTTGGTTCCCTATTTATGTAGCCTATTTTTCACATCCAACCCTTTCTTTAACTTTCTTTTGGCCGAACATCCCTTTCTTTAACACTAACCATAAGATGAAAATATGTCTAGAAATATTCTGGCTTCCCAAGCAAATTTTAATAAATGATCATAGCATTAAGCACGGACCTGAACAGTAAAACAGTATCCGAACATTGTGAAATCCTTTCTGAATTAGACAACTTTATGCACACCATAATAGCTGGAAGTCACTTTTCAATTGTTTATGATAATAAACTGCAGGGAGGCAGCAAACAAGTCAGGTTCCAGCCTCGAATTGCCAACTTCTTGGCTGCTGGCGCAGGAAATATTATTAATGTGATTGATATCGAGAGTGACAAACTTATATACAAGCTGAAGGTAAGTTCACCTATTATATTTTATCACAGTTCCTTCAGCATAATTTTCATATGTTTTGCAACTCTCAATCATTTTACTAACTTATATTTCCTTCTAGGGACATGTCAAAGATGTTATTTCCGTTTGTTGGGACGTAACAGGAAACTATCTTGCTTCTGTAAGTGAAGATAGTGCACGTGTGTGGTCCGTTACGTCTGATGGAAAATGCACACAAGTGTTGCATTCAAATGGAAACAAGTTTCAATCGTGCCTGTTTCATCCCGCATATTATAACCTCTTAATCATTGGTTGCAATCAGGTAAACACTGCAATACTTTATCATTATGTGATTCATATTAAGTGTTGCGCTTACATTAGCTAATAAGATTACGTTGATTGCATCCTTTCTTTTGTTTGTCCAATAACTGTTGCTCCCTGTCTAGAGCATAAACTACTTGGATGTGTCGATAATGACTCTTAATCTGTCATCAGAAAAGTCGCTGGCTACTTTATGCTATTATGCTCACATCAGTTTTATTTATTTTTTTCCATTTCTTTTCACTTTCAGATAATGTATCTTTTAAAGTAAATGGAATCTACAAGCCAAAGATTGATTTCTGTACTCGCAAAATGAGTTTTAAACCGTTTGTTTTAATAGCAGAACCTGAGGTTCTAAAATATGTATTGAAACATTGCATGTTAACTTGAGGTTGATTGTATGGCTTCTGTGGCAGAGGATCATGATGGCATAGAAATCTAGCTTTGCCTTGTTTATATTAAAGAATCAAGAAATATGATCTTCGAAAGATAAACCCTTCATCTACTTGGTCTCTGATTTTATCAGTTTTTTTTTTTTTGGCTACTTGTTCTCTGGAACATGCATATTTGCTTTGTTTGTTTTCTATTTTTAACCGATGGAAGATTAACTGGCTGGGGGTCAACAACTTCCATAAGTTAAACGGCTTAGACATAAGATGAATCAAATGATTGAGACCTGTACCATTTTGAGAGCAAGAAAATGCGTTTCCTCCCAAACAATTCTTTATGCAGAAATTGAAAACATTCCGATGAGACATTTTTCACGTATTAATGCAGTCCCTGGAGTTTTGGATTCCAACCGAGGGCTGTAAAATATGGACTCATCCTGCTCACAAGGAAGCAATCGCTGGATTAGATGCTTCACCGGAAAATCAAATGGTTGCCTCTGCTAGCCATGATCATACTGTGAAACTTTGGAAATAAGTACTCTATATGTCTCTCTACATTGTGTCAATTTGTGAGGCTTTTCGTAAAGTAGGAATTACTTCCCTGCTGCCTATCTCGGAATTCGTTGAAGATTCCATTGGGGACATCGCATAGAATTAGAAAAAGGGCAAACATTACTTACAACTTAATAGAGAGGCCCATGAGATTTTTTTTGTACTGATGCTAAACCTATAAATTACATGGATGGGCAGTGTAAACTCTTTTTGACCTTGTTTATCAAGGAAGTTTTCTGGAATTGTGCTTTCGTGATTTCCAGAAAACAAACCCCCCACCGAAAAAAGAAAAGAAAAGAATCAAATAAACCTAAGAATTTCAACAAGCCTGTGTCTGCTTAAAGGTGAAAAAACACTTAGATGCACTTCTTAAGACATCAGGGAATAAATATTTCTTGTGAGAATTGAGGGATTCCCAACCACATCTCCTGTGTGTAGTTTTGAAATTCAAACAAGTGTAGTATGTTGAGGAAGACTCAAATTTGTGGCATCAGGAAGCAGGCGAACAAGTTCAGGTGATGCAAAAGTGAATTCTGAAACACGCCAATAGGCAAGCACGAAATATCTCAAATTTTCATACAAGTTGAAGGAGCAACTACCTTTCTTTTTCCCATGAAATAATTAACCTAGAGAACTTCACAACAAAAAATGGTTCAATTTGACACTTTCTATATCCCAGATGGATGAAATAAAAATCACATAGAATAGCAACTTCATGAATTCCATTATTTCCATAGTTCTTCCATTGGGATACCTCGCTCCTCAGCAACTTCGCGGAACTGCCTCATTTTCTGCACAGCAACAACTGTTGCTCTGGCATTGTTGAGGGCGTTATTGCTTCCTAGTTGCTTTCCCAAAGCATTCTCAACGCCTGCCATTTCTAGAACAATTCTCACAGATCCACCAGCAATAACTCCAGTACCAGGTGAAGCAGGTCTAAGCATCACCTTTGCTGCTCCATAATCTCCCTCAGATCTGGAACAATGCATTTTACTAGCTCAAATTACAAGAGGCCATGCAGAAAGATAACAAATTACAGTTTGTGGCACAACCATACACATAATATGGTAGAACGTGAAGTCAAAGAATCTAATTACTGGATGTCATAGTCATTGACAGGCCTCCATATGCTGAAAACTATATGATTACACAGAGCTACTATTCACAACCTTCCATTTCTTCTATGGATTGAAAAAAGATTGCTAAGATCGACCAAGGAACCCAATAACCTTCTATATGCATAGATTCAAGCAGAAACTCAGACATGAGGATATTTTATGAAAAATAATCTTTAGTTTTATACAGAACAAACAGGAAGAATGAAGTATGCCACTATCACAAGACCACCATCTTTCAATTTTTTGCCCAATTATAATGAGGAACAAAGAGTTTCAGCAGCATTTGACATGTCTTTGCTACGCAGCCTTAACTGGGGCTATTTAAATATCAGCGCTATGCAACTGAATGTAACTAATCTCCATGTTGTTGTTTTTAGCATCAAAGAATACTTTAGTTCCGAAACACATGAAACAAATTTTCTTAAACTGCGCAAGTATGAGATATTTGTCCATCCACTATGAAGTATGAAATTCTGCCACAAAAAGTGGAAACCATATGGCGGTCACTGGTCATTCATACAACTTGCAACATCAGAACAACTATGACACCAACAAATTTGGGAGTTCATTTTTTAGTCTGACTGGCAGAGATAGCAACTGAAACAGCTGAACATAGAGTTGAAGAAGATTTCTAGGATGCACTTCACATCAGAATTACTAGCATTTAATATATAAACTTGGTCAAATTGTACAGACAGAAATTCCAGCTTATAGACATGGTTAGATCAAATAGTCTCAAAGTTCAGCGCAGCCATTTTAAAATTCAACAACCGTTCTTACAAAAGCAGAGCGCTCTGTCCATAGTCTTTCGAGTACGCCTTGGAGATAATCAAGTTTACGTTCATATATACTTCTATTCATCAGTGATTGAAACAAAAGGACGACACCATAGAAATCAATCTTCATTATCCATAGATAGCCATTGTAAGCCTTTAACACCATAGAAATCAACGTATAAAAGGACGACAAGAATGGAGGAATTTTAATCAACCGTACCTATGTGGGAAAGTCAGGTACTTAGTCATAGGCACTGTGATGATATTCCGCCTTGCATTTACAGCAGATTTCTGAACTGCTCCTATAACCTCCTTTGCTTTCCCAACTCCTACGCCCACTTGGCCTTTCTTGTCACCCACAACAACAATTGCCCTGAAGTGCAACTGCTTTCCTCCTTTTACAACCTTGGTCACCCTTCTGACCTGTACTACCCTTTCTTCAAAACCATCCTTAACCTTCTCTTTCTTCCCCTTGGAGCCGAACCCAGTGTCTTTTTTTATCTTAGAGTCCATTACATGCACATCGTTGCCCAGAACAGAGACACCACTGTATGCAGGTCCATAAAGCTCCTCATAAGCAGCGGCGATTTCCTCTTCGGTCTCCATCGGACCGTCATCGACGGGAGAAGGGGGAATGAAGCCTTCGGGAGGTTCAGGAGGGTTGAAGGCGACGTCTTCTTCTGGCCTTACATTGTCGAAGAAGGAGGTGTCGATGTCGTCGGAGGACTTGGATTTGGGTTTGGGGATAATGGGGGATGAGGAGGTAGAGAGAAATGGTTGTGAGGTTTTGGGAAGGATATAAAAGGTGAATTTGGTGGTGGGGAGGAGAGAGAAGCGGGAAGAAGAGGGAAGGGAGAGAGACGAAAGGGAATTGAGAGCTGCAGAAGATGCAGCCATGGAAGGAGTCTCACAAATGAAGAGAGGATTTGGGTTATTCCAAAGGTAAGGCTTATCCTCAAGGCTTGACGATGGATCAGCACTAGTCGCAGTTCACTGGCTTCGCGACGATGCTCCGTTTTTCTTTTTTATTTTCACAAAAATATATTATTATTTGCAAGTTGTCAAACCCTATAAAAGTACTGGAACTAATGCTGATTTAGGATTTTATAAGTTTTATGGTTTTTATTTATCATTCTCCCATTTTTGTATGCTTAAAATAGAATTAATTAAAAAATATTTTGAATTAAAATAAAAGCCTATATCATTTTTATAGTTAGAGAAAAATTTGGAGCCACAGATGATGAAGTTTTTTTAAACTTTTTCGTTAATTATTTATAATTAAACTAGATTATCTATACTGTAATTATTTACTGAATATGGTTAAAAGAAAAAGAGATTACGAGATTGAATTTTTATTCTTGCATTGATGCACGCCTCCATATTATTCTCTGATGCAAATTCTTCATAAATAGCATCAAAATCAATCATTTGTGTTACTTTTATTTTTTAAACAAATTAATTTGTGAGTGGATATAGAGATATGGTAAGTAAAATTGAAATCAGAATGTGTTATATTCATACTCACGGAATAATTACTATTTTGCAGTGTTTTTCCGGCGCAAGTATTATATAATATACATTGCTATTTGGAAATGAAATGATTCATTTCTTATAAGGGAGAATACTTGGAGTTGAAATGTTATGATTATTGATTCGTACATAACCAAACGAAAATGATATCCTTAATTATTTCTGTATTAAAGTGTGGCTTTTATTTATTTTTCATTCTGAAGCTTTATGAGCAACCGAAGCAACACTGACACTTCAGTTTTCAGGCTGTGAAGATTAAGCATTTTTTTTGGATTGCACAGAGTATCCTCTCACCTGAACGGTAAGAGCTTAATCTCTCCAGATACTGTCAAGCACTGTAATGGGAACTCTTCCCAACAGTATTTGTTCTATACATACCATTCTAAAAATTAAACTCAGAACATGATGTTTAAGGTGTCTAAATTCCTTCCACTTAGACCAATACTTGTTGGTAAGATTAAGCATTTTAAGTCTGCTCATATATGTTTTGGGACACTGCGTCGATCGGAGCCCAGATTTATGAGCAAGTTTACGACATTGCGGTTTTTGGGCTGCTTCTCATAAAATGCAGTGTTTACTTATACTAATCCTTCAACGTACGTGGTTATTGAGGTCATGCACAAAATTGTGCTTAATAATTGTACAGTGGCTTTTAATTACTTTTATATCTACCGAAGGGACAAGCCCCACAAAAGAATCTACTTCAAGTGGAATAAAACTAGGACAAGTCTTTAGAAGAGCTTGACATACAAGGGGGTTGCAGAGCAACATTAAATTAGACAAGCCTAAATAATGATGCCATCTAGCTACAGTGATACTATAACAGTTGTACTGTCTAACATGATGCAAGACTCTAGCGTAAAGCTTTAAATTAAAGATGGTGATTATATTTTTAGAGATGTTTTCAACGCTGCTCATCGTTGTCAAACACATGCAAGACTCTCTAACGTAAAGGTTTAAGGACGACGATGGTTATATTTTCAATTTTTCAGAGACCATTATTTCAGTGCTCGTTGCCACAAATTGTCAAACACGTGGAGGGTAAATGGTTCATCTCTCTCAAATACCTTTCCTCCATTCATAACACAGTGAATATATTTCCCCACTCCTTGGAGAGTTGATGAAGTTAACGGCATTCTTCCCACTCTTGAAGAAGAGACCTCGCTGGCTTTGCGCCGCGCCAAAGAGCCCATGATGTTTCGTAATCAATGATTTGCATGCGAATGACTTTTCGATTGAAAAAAAAGAAAGAAAGAAAAATCATCTTTGAGATGGATCGTCTGCACACTTGCTTGCCCCCACACTTATCAAACATTAAATTTATAAGATGTTTTTAATCTTTAGAATGTGAGGGAAACTGTGTGCCGGAACCATGACGTTTGAGCTTTGATGGTCATGTATATATTTAGTGTATCAAAGGCGCCCGCCTATATTATAATGTAATTTTTCATCAGTTCTGGGCAACGCAGAGAGTTTAAATTACAGTAGACAACTTGTATAAGCATATCAGACACAAGAACGAAGAATCAACAAGACATGTCTATTCCAGAGAATGATCATGGCAAGCAAAAACTTCAAAGGGCAACATTAGGATCATATAAATAAACACGACTAATTAGTGCACGGGGTTTACCTTGGCAAGCTTGATCCTTAATTATTGAGACCGACGGTATGAAAAGAGACGTGTGTGATGGTTTGGAACTGTGAGAAGTGTGAGGGAGAGATTGACATGTATGTATAGAGCACAGGCGAGAAAGGAGCATAGAATTAGGGAGTCTCAAATAATGACACCATGTACTGAAGCGGAATACTCCTCTGGTTCTATTCATAGAACAGAAAGAAAAGACATTTTTTGATCATATTTATAAGACATTAAAAGAAATTTTTTGTATGGATTATACAGTTTTATCCTCTATTTATTATTATATTGGCTTTGTTTATATGAGGTATAATATATATTAAATAAGGTTAAAGTTATAAAGTTATTAAATTTTAAATGAGAGTTAATAAAATTTATGATTTTCTTTGTGAAACATGGAAGTGACTTATAAATAAGAGTTTCCAATTTAAGTGCTCATCACCTAGGATGCTCATTAGATCCGAATTGTCTATATCTGGTTTGAATGGTCCAAATTTAAAATAATTAATTAATTATTTTTAAATAGAAAAATATATTTTTTGAAAAAATGATAATTAAGAGATTATCTTTATTTTAAATTTTATACATATTAGAATAACTATTTTGAACAAATAAAAACAAAAAAGAAATTAAATCAGGACAATGAGATATGAATTATATAGATTTGAGCCTAGTTTTGATTAGTACCGAGACTAATTCCTAAGTAAGACCAGAAGAGTATTTGTCGATCATGCAGAATTCTAACGCGAAGCTTCAAAAGCAAAGACTCCATTAATTTGTGCGTGGAAAGATACACTCAGGGGCTCAGGGCGAGGAAAAATCGCAAGATTTCAAGGACTCACAACTATACAAAACTGACACGGAACTAATTGACAGAGAAAGCGCTTGAATATACGCAAGCAATTGAATCAAATAAAGGTCAAAATCACCGCTTCAACACAACAACTCCATTTGGCTTTCCTAGTGAGATCGATTTTTTGAAATAACTTACAAGTAGCTATCATAAAACGCGCTTATAATATAAGTGATGCCAAACACGCAGATAATCGGCAAGCTGGATTGCATAAAACGCAGCCCAGTTTTGATGACCATTAACTCTGCAGCAGCGGAAGGAAGATGTCGCGAGCAATTCAGGGGTTGTCGAGTGCCCTTGGATTGGATTCCCCTTTTTTTATTAGTTTACTTTAGAATGAGAGGTCGGGAGAGATAGGGCGCACAATAATTCTACGATGGCGGCAGCAGGAGGTGAGGGGACTTCACTTGAGGGAGGATGGCACATATGGGCTTCTGTTGGGCCCTGAAAGGTAAAGAGGCTGAGCCTCTATTAATGGGCCTGCGGGGGAGAGAGATTGCTCGAAGCATTAAATGATGGCCTGCTTTAAATTTAAATATCAGCAAAATATTTGTATTTCAAAAAAAAAAAAAAAGAAAAAGGACAGAGAGAGTAGGGCAGTTAAGCAGGAAAGGGGCATGAAGCATAAGATGAAGCAGGAGCGGTTGAGGAAGTTGGTTTTATTGTCATGGGAGCAGTTGTCGCTTGTATCTTGCAATTCCTCACAGCGTCACCCCGCGGGGGGCCCACGCCTTCTCCCGTCATTCTGGTCGTGTCTTTGAAATTAACTTTGACCAAATTCATGAGCCTAGTGTTAACAGTATTTCATATATTATTTTGGTATTTAATGCAAGAATTTATTTAATTTTCATTTTAGTTTTAGCTATAAGATCTTAATTTATTATATCTTATATTTATCTAATTTTTCTAAAATGGTTCTTGTAGCGTAGTAATAATAATTCTAACCAATACACTTGATTAGTAAGAATATTTTTAGAAAGACAACATCTATTTATTATAAATAACAAACTTAACTAGTTTTCTTAATCTACTCAAATTAATTAATTAGTTTTCATATTAAAAATTGAAAATAGTATACAAATGTCAAGAGTTTTCTGATTCAGAAGTGACAAAATACATGACATAAACTAAATTAAGATTTTGTACGTCAGATCAATTCTAACTCATTACTCACTAACTCTTTATTCATAATAACGTCTTTTTTATTTTTGTGATGTGATTGATTTAAAAATTATATGAAAAAAATATGAATGGCCCCAAAAAAAAATAAATTATTAATTACTCTTACAATTTTAAATATAAAACCTATTTTATAGTACAAGTTATATTAAAAAAAATAAATTTTATATTTAGGACTAAAGTACAAATCAGTATACGTATACCACATAGAAAACATCGTACGTTGCATCCACGAATAGTTTGATTTATTTTGAATCCTATTAAATACCCTAAGCCCCAGATGACTTTTTATATTTCTATATTTTTCTATATTATCTTGTTTTTGTAAACCGACAAAAAGAAAAATCGTGTTCTTGAAGTGTTCCTCATGTCCTTCTCAAATAGTTGAGTACTAGTTCATTATGGAGCCTAATGCCCCAAGTGATAGCAATGGTTGGACTTTTTCTTTGACGTTTTAGCTCTTTTTTGTTTTGTTTTTGAAATGAACGTGTTTGTTGACGTGTTTATGCGGTGTTATACATTATTATCTCCGGTTATAAATATAAAATTCATTCTGTGGTATAAATTATATGACAAAATAAACCCAACATGATATTATTTTAAAAAAAGTTTAATTTTTTTTTTAAATTTTAAAATCTCAAATTAGGAATGATTAGAAAAATATATTATTATCTGTTTTTTAAATATTGTTAATCGTTATTAAAAAATAATAAATAAGATTGATTTAAAATTTTAAAATTTAAATTTTTTTAGATTCTCCCTGTTTAAAACTATTTATTTTTAATTAGTATTTTTCATGTGAGAATAATAATTTAAAAAAAGAAGAAGCATAAACTCATCTTTTGTATATGAAAAATGGAGGTCATTATGGAGGATATTCCTTGCCGAAAACGGCTTGAACACGTGTTTAGCTAATGCCTATTGATTAGACACAAGCAGCAGAACCATAAAGGAGACCTCACCAAGAACCCGGACGGCCAACCTCAATATGAGGATACAGGGCTCTTCTGCTTCTAGATATATCAGCTAGTGAAGAACTTGGCTTTGCCATTTCCATTCTTAATATAAAAGTTTATTTAATTTTTGTTTTATTTTATATTTTATTTTATATTTTATATTTATCTATTTTTTTAAAATAATCATTATAATAATAGTAGTTATGATCAATACACCTGATTAGTAAAGATATTTTTAAAAAGATGATATATATTTATTACAAATAACTAACTCAACTAATTTTTTTAATTTATTCAAATTAGTTAACTAATTTTTATATTAATAACCAAAAGTAGTACTCCTCCGGTCCTTAATATAAGACCCATTTAACTAATTTGATTAGATTAAGGAAGTTAGGTAAGTTAGGTAATTATAAGAAAAGTGACACATTTTTCCTAAAACACCATAATCATCTTTCTTAATACTCCCTCTCCCTTTTTTACTTGATTATGGTTGAAGGAGTATTCATAGGGGTAATTTAGAAAAAATTGATAAATATAAGAAAGGGTCTTATATTTAGGATCAAAACTAACTCAAGAATTGGGTCCTATATTAAGGACTAGAGGAGTATTATTTATTATGTTTATTATTTTTAAATTAATTTATTTAACTGATAAACTCATACGAGTTTTTTTTTTTTTTCACCAGCCATACGAGTACCATTTAATGTTACGTAAGAGCATCGCATTTTTTTTTTTGACCAGCCATAAGAGCGTCACATTTATTACAGTTAAGGAAGCCGAACACGTTCTTTAGTGCGAGCTTATATGACACTTTGTTATGTGATGCTGAACTGACTGTTTTTTTAATTGAAAGGAGTCACTTTAACTCAACATATGTTTGAAATGTTATTTTTAAACAAACCTTTGAACCAAAAGTCAAACGGAAAGTAAACCAAAGTTTTTAGCTTTATTTTGATTTTTTTTATATTTAAAATTTTTAAAACTTACTTTTTAATAATATATTATCCAAACAGGTTATTTTTCCCCAACTTTAATCCAAACAAGCATATGAATCATTTGGCTGAAGTTATGATGGGAACAATATTTCTATCGTGTGTGTATGTATATATATGTGCTACAATTGCAAAAAAAAAATCTTAATAATAAATAAATAATCACGATTTAAGAGAAGAAGTTCCACGGTTTATTCTAATTCACCCACTCACACCTTAATAATTGACATCTGTGCTGAAAAAAAAAAAATCCCGTGTAAGGATGTTCAGAACAAACCTAAAGTTGGTAATTAGATGAATACGGGTTTTGTTAATTTGTTTTATTTTCTTTTCCCGGCTCTCCCAATAGAACTACTCGAAGTTACTGGATTCTATTTGATTTAACCCATATTAATTCTCCATAATCACTACCCTAATCATATACAGGTCAGATTAACTTATCTAATCACCCCAAAACAGCCAAAATATTTATAATTAGGATTTCTTGATGGCCGAGTATTAAAATTAAATGACATATACGTCAAATACATGAAGTCAAAACACAATACGTACAAAACTTGAAGATCCAATCAAAATCAACGTGAATGCTATTGTTTTCTTCCTTAATCACACTCAACATTAACTATAGCTCCTCACCAAATTTTTATCCATATTATTATAATCTTCATGGAGTCGATAGCAATTCTCTAGGCGATGGAGACGGCAAGGCAAACATCCACCTTTTTCCCAAGCATGCAAGAAAAGCCACATATAATTGTAAAAATCACGAGTTCAACTTTTGTGGAATATTGGACTGCAAAAATAAAAAAAAACTTCTGTGAAGTATCAATATCAACATCAATCAACGAATAAATATAAACTGCAATAAGGTGATTAAATATATTTAGAGAGAAAGCATCTAGTACCTACAAGACTTTTTTTTTGTTTTTGTTTGTATATATCTTAAAAATTTATTTTCATTACAAAAATATCTTAACTGTTAAATTATATTGTTTAACCGGTATATTTAATAATCACACTTAACAAAAAATAATGGTGTAAGACAGAAATATTATAAAACAAAACTTTTTAAACAGGTAACAGTTGAAAAAACTTTCAGACACTGGTACTAGTTCGTAAATATTTCGGGGCTCATTTTTAAGTATTTTGTCCCAATATTTGGTATTTCTATAATTTTGTAGAGAACGAGTTAATATTTCGGTTTAAAAAACAAAGAGCGCGAAATAAGAAATTGGATAGTAAATAAATTAAGACGTGAAGAATATTTTATAGGTTTTTGGAAAAACAAACTCAGGGCCACTGGAAGTAAATGTCGCATGAAAATATAGCGGTAGCGTAGGTGAAAAAATTGGCGCAGGAGCTATCCCATACAGACTGATGTCAGAAAGTTTAATGGAGCACTGAAGAAACTGTAGTGAAATTGACGGAATAAAAGGGAGGGAGAGGGGGAGAGAGAGAGAGAGACAGAAAATAGAATTGTCCATTTCATTCACCATCACCGCCTTCTACTGTGTCGCCTCCGCTCAGGCCTCAGGGTGGTCCTTCATCTACAGAAGCCCTTTCTTCTTTTACTATTACTTCTGGTTTTCTTCTCTCACCGTCTCTCTGATGGAGATATATCGCCTCTGAACTTTCAGGTGCCGATTCTGCCGTGCCGTCGTCTGCCTGCTTTTTCGTACCTGAAATCCTGACCAGTTGCAGTTCTTCATGATAATACCTGCGACATCACTGACCCTTCAACCCAGTCCTTCCTGTACGTTTATCCACGTCCCACCCCAACCCTCCATCATCGCTCCCAAATTTTTGAGGATGGCAGGCTTACAAGTTTCGCCCACCATCTCCTTCTAGCTAGCTCCACCACCTCTTAACCCCGCTTCAGAGAAATCCGTAAATATTTCGGACAGGTGATTGGATCTCTCTTTTCTCTTTCCCTTTCGTATGAATGCTTGTATACACGTCAAGCCACGATTTGTGAACATATTCTCTGATTTCTCTCTCTCTCACACACACACACTCTCTTTTTCCTGTTTTAATAATTTGAGAGAAGTTGGTTTTGTCGATTGTAGGTTGGTGGGAAAAGCTGGACAAGGTAATGATCGCCCGTGGTTTTGGCTTTAATATGGATATGGATTCTCTTAGACATTACACAGACACGTAGAGCTTCTTGCACAGCACTTTTAACTCAGATACACCCTGCATGCGCGTTCCAGCCACAGACCACGCCCCAGTCGTTTTCTCCCTATATAATTACAGAACCAGCCATCCCTACAAGAAACATACATTCACATTACATATTATTCTCTTCAGGCTTCACTCCTAAGCAAAACAGGGTTCGCAATCAGACTGAGAGATACTGTATCTGCTATTTATTTATATATATATATTGATTGTATCTCTGTATATGTAACAGCAAGAAAGGAGGAGGAGAAATGAACGGCAAGCCTCAGCCTCAGCCTCAGCAACCCCAGAAGTGCCCTCGGTGTGATTCTCTCAACACCAAGTTCTGCTACTACAACAACTATAGCCTCTCGCAGCCTCGTTATTTTTGCAAGGCATGTCGAAGGTACTGGACCCAAGGCGGAACCTTGAGGAACGTCCGCGTCGGCGGTGGCTGTCGCAAGCCCAAGCGAAGCAAAGGCTCGGCTTCTTCTTCGTCTTCCACCGACACTAGTTCTGCCCCGTCGTTGTCGCAACCACCGCGAGAGGCGGAGGTAATGAAGGACCCTTCCGCCGCGAGTCCTGCTTCTGTGGCTACTACCGCGGCGGTTCCATCAATCGGCCCCTTTTATCAAGACGGTGCCTGTGGTGATGGTGGGTATTTGTCGTCTCTGGCAGCGATTCAATCCTTGAATCCATCACAGCCGTTCAATCAGATGGGTCCTTGTCCTAATTTGAGTCTACTTTCTGGGTTCGGTGCTCCTTCTCTGGACTCGTCAATCCGTCCGCCGCTACCATTTTATCAGATGGGTGTTATCAGACACAAGGAGGAAGAGAGACTGTATGAAGCAGACCAAGTTTTGATTCAATCAACTACGGCCAATAGCGGTTCTGCTTCGACTCACCATGATTGGACTGAAAGCTTCATCAATAACATCAACCATAGGGGATCTGATGCCTCTCTGTGGAGCACTACCATGAGTACCGCTTCCGCCAGTGGAAATTCTCAGAATCATAATGATACTGTTGGTGGGTCATTTTCTTTGATCCCAAATCACCAGTGGCCTGATCTTCCCCACTATGACCCTCCCCCATGATCATCTCGTACTGAGGAAAAATTACTGCACTCTCAGCATCCAGAGATAGGAAGGCATAATCTGAGATATTATAGCTGACTTGCCTTTTTTTTTTTTTTTTCTTTTCCTTTTCTGTTTTATCAGTCTAGTTTCTTTGTGGTCTCACTAGTATGGGTTGTTCATTAGCAGGGTGCTTCTTTTCTGGTTGACTGGGAATACGCTGCACAGGTACAGAATTTTGTGATGTGGGTATTCAATGTGTGAACGGGGAATTAGAAGGCGCATCATTTTTATCTCATAATAATATGACATAAAGTAGAACACAGGATTTGCGATTTGGGTTATTTTGTACTTACTGCTTGATTGAAATACTCCTCTGATCTTAATATAAAACTTGTTTAACTAAGTTGATTAGATTAAAGAAGATAAGTAAGTTAGTTAATTATAAAAAAACATTACATGTTTTTTTTAAAGTATCATAATTATTTTTTTAATATTCTTTTTTTTCTAGTTAATTATGGCTAAAAGAGTATCTATAGAATAATTTAAGAAAAATTGATAAATATAAAAAATATGTGTTGTATTTAGGGTAAAAACTAACTTAACAATTAGGTTTTATATTAAATACAGGAAAAATATAAAGTTTTGGGAGGTTATTGTTGTGATCAAGAAGAATTTAATAGAGGCATGAACATAGGATGGCAGTGAATGAGATAATAGCAGTATTCTGGTGGAAGCAAACCATAGATGTGATAGTTGGTCTAGTTAATAAAGTCCCGTAACTTTTAATTTTTAAAATCGTGAGTTTGAATCTTGTTACTGGTATGTGAATCTTGTTAGTAGATGATTTATAAATATTTTGGTAACTTTTTTCAGCCTATAAAAACCTGTCTGGCTTTGGTGATTTTCTGGATTCAACTTACTCAAATTTTTTTGTACGAAGAAAACGGCAATGTGGTTTGGTTGGAGAGTGAAAAGAAGGGGGTTAGAATTGATCATGAAGAACGACAATTAAGGGGATTCATACTAAATGCATGCACAAAATGGAAGGTGATGTGATCTCCAGAGAAGAAAAAGTTGGAAAAGATGTTTCCATAGCGTGCATGTGGGGTGGGGTGCATCACTAGATATATTGGCAAACGAAAAAGAAAGAACTGGTTCGTTTTGGTCTATGTTATGACGTGATTCACAGTGCATGTATGTATAAATTAATGTCAATCTTTTGAGGGCTGAGTGGTGAGCATGTGCATGGGAAAATTACTTTATGATTTGCCAAATCAAAATCAAGTGGAACATGTGGCTTCCATGGGTTTTCTGCAGTGGATTGGACGCAAGATAAATATAAGGCTTCTGTTCTGTTCCTCTCGTCCTTCTAACGAAGGATCCTCTAGTTTGGATGCATACGTGACCAAATCCCAAATCCGTAAGCAACAATGTGCACCTAATTGGTAGTATAAAATCTCTATTTGGAAGAAATTAATGCATAACAAAAAAAAAATTATGATAATTTATACCCTGCTGGTCCTACACGGATAAAAGATAGGGTCTAAAAGCATTGTATGGTCTGTTACGTAAGGCATTTTAGATTACAAATGAAGCATTTTTCTTTTTTGGGAAAGTTTACCCTTCTCTCCCCTTGATTAAAATAGAGAGAGATGAATGGAATGTGAAGGAAAGGGGTGGAAATTAATAAAACACGATATATTATTTATAAATTGTCATCAATGTCTTTGTTTTTGAAAGTAAGAGGAATGATTTGCGTTTCCTAGGGAAAAGGAAGCATGGGAGTTGGGGGATGCATATCCTAGGAAGTGGAGAAAATCTTTGGTGTGCCAAAGAAAGATATGAGGGCGAAACAAAGGTAGAATAAATCAGACCAACAGGTGGGCCCCACATAACTGATAACGTCCATTCTCTTCTCCTCACTCTCCATTACATCCCGTCTTCGTCTTCAATTTTTCTTTTTCCAAGTTTTTTTGACCTGATTTCATTTTTCAATTTAAGAAGAATAGTTTGATGCTACGAGTTATAAAATTAAATCGATGACTTTTTACTTATGAAAGAAATTCATGTCATTGCATTGTAAGTTTATTAAATGCAATTCACAATTTTACGTATGATATTTAAAATAAAATTTATTTTGTAACGTAAACCGTACTACACCGTAAAACTACAAACTAAATGATTTGTGTAGATAAGTCACACACTAAACACATGCCTGCTCCTTCAATTTCTTGCGTTTTCTTTCCCAATACACAGAAACGCGTACATATCTTTAGTGAAATATGGTCTACTGTAAAAGGATTGAAGCTATATATTCTTTCGAAAAATCCTTTGTCCTTGTATTTTAAATTGAAGTATAGCTCAAGTGATATCAATCAAAGACGATGGCAGAATCATTGCGGGGTTGGAAATACGAGTGAAGTTTGGTATAAAAAGGGGAGGGGTGGATCCCATGCATGTTGATTATTTAGTTAGAGGATCTCAAAACCGGGCAAGTACATCATTATATTATAATATAAATAAAGCTAAAGCTGGGCGGGCTAACGTTTCTGGGTAAAGCTGGGAGCGACACATGCAATGGCGGAAGAATCCAGTGTCTGGCTTTCCCGCCACATTCTAACGCAACGTGATTTGATGTCTCTGCGACTCCCACGCTCTGCTTTTTCATTTCTATGGCTCAGCCAAAGCAGGTTTTATAAGTATTCAGAAAGAAGAAAACTTCAGCATGATGATGGACCCCAGTGGTGGGCCCACCAAAGGAGGGGACACTTATGACCAGTACTTCGAGACCAGTCTCTTGGTTGGGTTAAGTCATAATTGGTACAGGGACAATGTTTCGTGGACTCCATTTGTTTTTGCTGCCACGGGATGCTGATCTTGATCATTATTGTTATCTCTGGTTGGCTGGACCTTTCGGTAATTTCGTCGGCCCATCCGCTTTGTGTCGGTTAAAAAGCCTCTGAATTGGCGAGCTTCTATTGGTTCTACAGTACAATGATTCCTGTCATGCCAGAACACCATTCACGTTCCCCCACGTGGCTATTATGGCGTGCAATTCCATTTCTAGCCACGCCTTTTAATTTTACTTTTTAACCCCCTTATCCCACAAATCTAGCCTTTACAAAACGCACAACGGATGGATTTCTTGAGGGTGAAGGAAATTGTCCCTCTTCACACCTCAGCTGATGAAATTAAATTAAGATCGTGAGTTTAGGACGAACTATGGACGGACACATTCAATTAATAGTCGGGTGTTTGGAGCCACCTGTCACCGTACCCTTTGACTATCACGAATGGGGACGGCTTTTGTGGAAGCTTCTCTTAACATAACACTGTATCTACACGGTTCCTTAATTATGAGACCTTTATTTATAATCTTATAACGAGGACATGAGATAGTAATTATTAATATTAATTTCGTTATGGGAATTTGGTAGGCTTAAGAAGCCACCACCCTGAAATTGGTTTGTTGGGCATATCATAGCAAGGCACTTGACTACTTGAGGAATGAGGCATCTGCAAACAACGAAGTTTTATGTGAATAAAAAAATAATAGAAAGAAAGAAACCTCCCAACCTAGCGACCTAAACCTTTTTTTTTCTCTCCCTTTAAATCAACGGAATATTTGAGGTTACAAGTAGAATAAGGCTTTTGACAGTAACCTATGCAAATGGATAATTGAAAATTAAAGTTTTGTAGGTCAGGCCGGTGCCTCAAAACAAAGGAAGGAGTTAGATCTGGACCCGCATAAACCGGTCAAACCGGCCCGCTTTCTCAAAACTGCCCGTTTGGCGTTTAGGCGTGCCTTCTTTGGATAAGAAACAAATGAATAGCGTTTCAAAGTTCGGCTTCCTTTTCCCCACTTTTTCTGGGCATCACTTCCCTCTTATTATGTATTAGTTAAAAGTATCTCTTTTTTGTACAAGGGTGTCAGCTCAGCAAGTGAATACCAAATTTGGGAGCGTGAGGTTTTTATAATTTTTTTCAGGAAAATCATTTTGACAAATGTGCCTTCATGGAGTCTGAAGATGATGAATGGACAACCAAACCATATGGGCTTAACCCATTTGTAGAGGAGAAGTGAAGTGCTCAATCGTTTCACTTTTCTCTTGGCATAAAGGGCATACGAGGTTTAGCGCACATTTTCTAATGTAAAATGCATTTAGGTTATATATTTTAAAACGCATCATGGCATACTACTGGATTGAGATGTGAAAAGAAACCAAAATTGGTTGATTTTTTTGTGCTGGGGGCGTGGAGGCCAGGCCAGCAAGAGAAAACGATGGCACCTCAAATTTCTGCCCCACCTACGACTAAGGTTTAGGAATTTGGAGCCTCCCTGCTCCTTCCTTGTTTTCTGATATATAATTGTTGTACAGTTCTCAGTACAGTCGCTTGTTTCCTTGATTGTTGCCACTATATCAAACGCCATTTTCATAAGGGCTATAAAACTTCATCTCGTGACCATACGTGCAGTTCATCAATCGACAAGAGATAGATAAAAAGCCACGAATCACTCATATCAAACAAGTTATATCCCCATGAACTCGAATTCTCTCTCTGAGGACTTAAAATGTAGGTAGAGGGTTAACAAAAAGATCTATCTGCATTATTAATTACACGTATCATTATTATATCCATGCAAATTGTAAGCAGAGATGTGTGCAGTGTGTGTATATATATATGGTATACTTGAGGGAGTATTATTTGTTAACTGTTGGGCATCATGAGATTGTTTCACGTACAAGACCTAAAATTCACAAATATTCTAAGCAATTTGACCTATATAAATATATAAAAGGATGGATCAAATTATGGTCACGAGTATCAATATAATCAAACTTAGTGTATGTTACGTGCTTTGAGTAAATTTATATATGGATTGGTTTTTATATATCGATCAAGTTCTTTGTCAGATTAAAACTTCTTGCTATAAAGCCCACCTTAATTTGAGATTATTTCGAAGGTCTCCATCAATGTAGCAAAGAGCTAAAATATATACGACGTACATTTCACCGTTACTATTTGATATTGCACTTCATAAACCATGCAATATAATTAACTTTACGACCAAGCTCAAAAAAAAAAAAAAAAACTTTACGACGTACCTAATTAATGGCGAACTGATGCAAAAGAGTACCGCATTATATAGTCTAAGCTACTAGCCCTAGGCTCTTGAATCTTGGTGTGTGCTCACCCCGAGGCGACCACTACCATAAATAGTATTACGACTGTACCAAAAAAAAAAAAAGGACATTATCAAAGGAGTTACGTAGGATTTACCAAAAACTAAAACTAGATTATGTCTTTAATATAAAAGTTAGTTAACTAATTTTAATAGATTAAAAAAATTAATTAAATTAGTTATTTATAATAAATAGATTGTTTTTTTAAAATATCCCTGCTAATCAAAATGTACTGGCTACAACAACTATTATTACAAGGACTACCTTAAAAAAAGATGTATAAATATGAGAGACAGAGTAAATTGGTATCTTATATTTAGGATCAAGATAAAAGTCAAATAAACTCTTATACTTAATTATAAGACCCAGGAGGGAGATAGTATTACTCCAATTGAAGTGTCCTAAACTATCTTAAGAAGTATCTTGATGTGAGAGAATAGTTGTTTATAATTAGGAGGCTTAGCGAGAAAAAAAGAGCTCAAGTTTGGCAAATGATGATCAAATGGAGGAGAGAGATGTTAGAGCTTAGTACTCAAAAACAAGTAGAAAAGGTCAAGCGTGAAGGAACAGCCAGCGTACGCATGACGCGTGTAGAAAATTATCCGCATTGTGAAAGGTTTGAAAATTGGAAGCCAAAACAGTAAAGTGGAGGGCTATGTACGCTACGCACACAATGGAAAATTGGAAATTTCTTCGAAGGAAAGCGGATTTAGCTGTGTGGAATCTATAGTACAATAATGCATGTATGCACAGTAGTCTAACTGCGAACGCTATTTTTCCCACTTGGTTTCTGGTTTCCAGATACCGAAGGTGAGCCACAGATCCATTGTCCTGCTCATGGATGCCTGAATTATTATAGCACTTTTGCATAGAAATTAATTACAATCAATCAACTTCAACTCTTTCGAAAGAACCCAAGATTAATTCTTGGAATTATTGAACGATGAAGAACAGCAGAAGTTGAGCAAACCCAAATAAAAGTGAACAATCTGATCGATCTCCCTCTCTTCTACACAATTAAACCCAATATATATCTAAGTCCACCCACCTAGCTAGCTAGGCTAAATCAAACCTTAAAAAGAACACAAAAATGGAACAAATATTAGATGCAGTTACTCATATAAATCCCCCACCCCGACCTAGTTTAATCACAATACATAAGAAAGTAAAGAAGCAAAAGACAAGTCTCTTACATGAAAGACGTACATATGTACATTGCAAAGACCAGCCTACTGATCAACTATGGAGAAGAAGTTGCACCAAAAAGAAGGATGTTCCACTTTCGATCGATATCTCTCCATGGGGAATACTCTAACGATGAGAGAGAAGAGGATCCGAGGTTCCTCTCAGAGCAATGTAATCAGTGTTCTCAAACCTTTGACGCATAAAACAATAGGCTGAAGCGTGAGTACTATTTGCAGCTGACATGATCGCTCCGATCCAAAACTCCTCTTATCTTTAGCTACACATATATGTATATTTCTCCATCTTTCACCCAACCCCTTTTTGACCCAAAAGAGAAAAGTAGTGTATTGAACAAAAGAGACCTAATTAGCAGATAGGGCTATAAAGAAAAGGACCGAAGCATGACTAACTGAAACGAGGGGGGAGAGAGAGAGAAAGAGACCGAGAGATTGCTGTTTTTACTCGATCATAGAAGCGACTGAAGGACCAACATTATTTGTCTGATCATTCCAATAATAAGGTGAGTAGTAATCGAACAAGCTCCCATGCTCAGTGATCTGGTTGGGTCTTTCTTCTTCGACTTTCACCTCTTCTAGTGGGTCTAAGCCCTGGAAAGTGCAGGTGCCTAGAACATCATCCTTCACACCTCCATTGATGAACTTCTGTTGCTGCAGATTAGTACTAGGGCTTAGGAGGGAGGATATGGCAGTTGAAGAACTACCGAAGATCGAATTACCAAAGACGGAATTGTAATTCGAAAAAAGTGAATCGTTTAAAGTGTACGCAGAGGAAAATCCCAATCCCAGGGCATTCAGATGAGGCTGAAGATGATCGTACCCAGAATTGAACCTTGGAAATGGAAGATTCATATCAGAATTAGAGTTACGAGGCAACCCATAAAACAGAGGATTGACATGATTATCGATGTGGGGTTGAGAAGGAGGGTTTGAATTAGCAGCAGTAGGAGAAGAAGAAGACGAAGAAGAAGGAGTTTGATCAGAAGCAGAAGGTGTTTGGCGCTTCACGCGCTTGTTCTTCCTGCACCCACCTCCTACAGGAACATTTCTCAGAGTGCCTCCTCTGGTCCAATATCGCTTGCAAGATTTGCAGAAGTGCCTTGGCTGAGACAAGCTGTAGTTGTTGTAGTAGCAGAACTTAGTGTTGGTTGAATCACAACGAGGACAATTGAGAGATTGTTGCTGCTGCTGAAGCTCCTGACCTGAAGGTTGCTCCATTGTCGTCATCCCACCGGAACCCATCGACGAGATCTTTTGATCGCCTGTCTGAAAACAAGAAAAGAGAAAAAGGTTGACGGTGGCGTTGTGGGGTAAAATAAGAAGAATGTTGTGCACAGATATTCGTTTCCAAACGCTAAGCAACAAAACTGAGGTGGTCGTGTATTTGTGTAATAATTGAGACTGACATACGAGAGAGAGAGGGGGGGGGGAGGGAGACATGAACCTGTGGCCATTCGTTATTCGTCGGGGGGATGACCACCATTTTCTCACAGTTACCCAACATTGAAACAGATAGTAAACAGACAAAGAAAATAGAGCGAGGATTTGGAATGGCGTGAGTGAATTGTGGACGAATGGAGGAAACGATGAGGGAGAGATAATGGAGGACGGTAGCGACTTAACATTATAAGACGAACATATATTTAATTATGTAAGCAATCAGATGCATAGTTTCACGTGATGGGTCTGGTCTAAAACCGAATTAGGATTAGTATTTTATGATAATGGGGGTTAGAATAATGGGAAGGAATATAAGACAGACATTCGAAATCCAAGAAGAGGACAGGGAGGTAAAGCAGAATGGGAGGTGAATCTTGAGTGGTTCAAGAAAGAAAAGAGAAACCTTGATTTGTGAGGAGACTATTAGCCCCGCTCCCAACACTACGTAACACTCTTGGCACGCAGAGAGAGAGAGAGAGAGAGAGAGAGAGAGAGATGCATTCAGAAGTACCCAAAATAATGCATTCTACAGGGCAAATCTCACTTCCATGATTTTTAATCAGTCTAGTGTTTTTAACGGTCTGAATATTTGATCAAACATTTGTGGGTAATGAGCGAAGCACATAATTAGTAAATTAAGCAAGAAAAAGAAAATCTTGCATGGCGAGCTGGAAGTTCCAAACTAAGGGGACAAAAAGCACCATGTAACGTAGAGATTTGCAGGAATTTGAACAATATGGAAGTTAACACCTTTTCCACTTTGGTTGAGTAGTAAATCAATAAAAGGGGGAGACGCTGCTAATGATATAATTTATTTGTATCTTATGGTTGGATAATTCAGGGCTGAATAGTCTATCTATAAACAAATGGCTTTTCTTGCTTGTGGATGTAGGTCATAATATTGACCAGGTTATTTCCTGTCCTTTCATATTTATTGCTCTTCTTTTTCGTTTTCCATTCAGTGTTAATGTTGGCACAACAAGTGGCGTTTGAGTGTGAGCCTTGATTTTGATCCCAAGGACAAAATCGAGGATTCGTTTGACGATCTGGATATACAGGCCTGGACCGCAAGCAATTTTCTCAAGTGGTGCCTACTCTCTTGTTGATGAGCGTCATGGGATCTAATAAGTGATGCCTATCCAGAAGAAGATAAAACTTTGACGGTGAAAAGTTTTGTGCTTTACTTACTCTCACCTCATATGGGATGCTTACCTAGAGAATTTCGTTGTTGATGTACTTTTCTCGTCATCAAACACAATAAACCGTTAACGGGGTATCAGAAGGTTAAGAGCGAGAGTCCTGAGGTTGCAGAACCATGTGGTGGGCAGCTCAGCTTCTAAGGAAAAAAGAATAAAAGAAGAGTAAAGCAAAGCAGAGATAAGGGAACAATTGGATTTTGTAGACTCCCAAGGGATCTCCTCCTCCGCCTTACTTCCCCATCATTATTCTCAAGTTCAGACCTGTTTCTCTGTTTTCAACCTTGATAATTGAATTCGTCTGATTATAATATTACAGTCATTAGGACGCAACACTAAACAATTCACTACTATTTTTTTGTACTAGGCGGGTGAATAAAGTGAAGTGGGTTTGGCTTCTTTTACTATTATCTTCACTGATTTAGTCATTATGGGTCATTATTTAAGCTACAGCTTAATGTCTGTGAAAACGAAGTTAAACCCACCTGATCGAGTGAACGTTATGGGTCATTTTACTCTGCCTTATCACAAAATTTCTTGGGGTTTGAGTGGTAATACCGATGTGTTTGTTACAGGAAACAAGCAAGAGAGAGTATGGAGGAAGTGAGTCTACCTAGGGAGTGACATGGGTTAATTTAGTGACGCAGGTGGGTGGGAGGTGGTGATGGGGCCAACAACCCACACCCAGCCACTCAGGACCCCACCACCACGGTCCACCGAACAAGAAATTCCAGTTTGGCAAGCATGAAAGAAACCCAACGTGCACGTTAAAGCCTAAAGGGAAGCCTGTAAATCACACACAAACAGAGAGAGAGAGAGAGGGGGGGGGTTGAAGCTTGGGGGACCACCAAGAAATCCAAATCATAAACAGTGAGCAGACAAAGATCTCACTCTCCATTAGATAATTCATTTAACTTTGATTATGGCCACAGCTGTAAACACCCATGTGTTTGCAGAAGGAAATGACTCTGAAGTCCTAATTATCTGTCACTTGCTTTTCAGGAACAAGGATAAATCTGACTATTTCCTTTCCATAATGGTGATGATGGTTCTGTATAAGGGTGCTCAAGTCACTGTTCTTCATTTCATAATTATCACTGTGCACCATTTTTTTATGTGGGAATGAATGCTAAATGTTTGATGATTTGTCCAAAAGAACGTGAATGGATTTTTGCGGACACAATATATTCCATATGGTGGACTTATACATCGCGTACCTCCTGTACTTATGCAGGGACGGTGATGGCTGTCTTATAGTCCAAAAATATTAGACCACGAGAGGGGAACACATGCTTTGGTTCATGATGACATAATTGGCAATATTGACGGTTCCAAAAGATGATTCTGAGCTGTGCTTCTCATAACCATTATTTAACGCATTGACAACTTTGGTCGGTTTTAATTAAATGTCAGATAATTCATAGACCATATGATTGCTTTGAATACCTTCAAAGGTTAAAGTAGGTAATTCACTATGACTTCAGTATAAATGGAATGATCACTCCTGTTTCCTTGAGAAAACATTATCTGTGAACCACGAAAGTCTTGATCTTATCCAATATAGCTGCCAATAATGATCGACAACAAAAAGGGTAGAGAGTTTGTAAATTACAAGTTACACCCATTACTGTTTCTCATCTTGGTCTTGTTTTAAGTTTATGCAGAATATTCTGAGGCATGTTTTATATATGTGTGTTGCTTTCAGATCACCATCATAACATGACAGGGGTTAGGAACCTTGTTCCACGGGTTTGATTTTCAAATTAAGATAGTTTATTAGTGAAAATTATCAAATTGGCTTATCTTTTTGTATCCTTATTTTATGTGCCTGAGCCACATGGCAATATAAAAATGGACCACTGGATCATAGTGGACAGGTAGCAACAACAGTGACAAGTCATACCTGGGGTTAGGACCATAGGCAGCAAGCAGTAAGCATAGAAAACTCCAGTAAGGAACTAGTCATACACGGTCTTTTAATACCGAATCTATCATAAATATTAAGTCACTTGTGGTTTGGACTCTTGTCTATGGAATTTTCAAAATTTTCAATACTGTGGGACTTGAGAATGTTGTGGAGGGATTATTCTACAGTATTTTAATACCAATATGCCCTAAGAACTATAATTCAATCTCCTCCTTTTTTCCTTGGAATGTGAAAGAGGGTAGAGGGGGAGTCCAGAGGTGATATAGATCTCAAGATTATTTATCTAGTGGCAGGAATCAATTTAGTTTGTGATTCTTCCAGCTTGACAATGACACTAAAAATAATTGGTATACTATTATACTAAGTTAAGGAAATGATAAAAAAGAGAAGGAAACGTGGTGGCGGCAAGAAGCGTCTGTGTTAGTCTCACAAGCTACAGCTCATATGTGCAAATTAATATGAAATTCAGTTTTTCTTTTTATAATGTGATTTAAGATCCATAAATTCTGAATGATGATGATGCTTTCATAATTGTGCTTATTTTATATTGATTTGCTTACTCACATTCCCTTCATTTGTAGTCTTCTTGTTGTCCATCTTTGCACAGTGGCTGCAGAGCATGAGCACGATGTGTGGCTGGAAAGCAATAATCAATCAGAGAGTATGATGAATATTTTTAAACATTGAGCTGACTATGGACCCTGATTGGGATTTTCAAGGAAACTGAATCGAGGTAGGTCCACAACCCTTGAGCAACAAGGTTCCATAGAAAATCCAAAAGTCTTGATAGAGTGTAATAAGCACACATATCTAAAACAGTATTTAATTACCCTCAATCAATCAGGTTTTGTGGTTTAGCTATTTTCTTAATTACGTCTACTATTAGATGGAATATATCTTTGTTATTTAGCTCAACTGACAATTTCCCCACTGCACTGGATAATCCTCACACATGTAAGCTTAGCATTGGGCCACAATGGCTAAGGAACCGGCCAAAGAAGGAAATTGAGATGATGAGACCGAATGGACTGATTTGAAGCAAAAACTGTCCTGGTGTTGAATTATTGAGTATTGACTATAGAATTTTGTTTTTGGAAAATCGGGCTGAAATTTCCAGGACTATACTTGATGTTCCATAAGCCAAATCGAGGATTCGCCACAGAGATTATGCATATCTGCTGAAAATAATTAAAATTACAAAGCCAAATCAATTATGATGAAATATTGACTAAACTAGAAGTTCTAGATCACAAAATGCCCAACGGCACATATGGTATGGTAATACCACTGAAGCAACCAGAAGCTGATAATCTGATTCTGTTCGTTGTTATTTGCAATTAAAATCCTTTGATTGTCACAACCAATTAAAACAAGCATCAGTGAAGTGTCAGATTTTGCACAGTGACACTCATGCTTCCAAAACTTAGTCATGCTGAATTACCTTTAGCCTACCTCAACCCAGGATAATTATCCAGCCTCTCAAATAGTGTAACTTTCTTTCTCTTGCTTCATGTCAATGCTAGCAAGGGACTGGGTATGAATATGGGGGTGTTGGCACGATTAGACTGGTATGAACTTAGTTTCTTTTCAGATACACCTGAAATTTAGATGGGGAGAGAAAGAAAGAAGGGATTGGTAGGGCTTATCAGAACATTTATCACTATTTTTCTCTGCACTTGTTTAGTTTTAGTGTGGAGAAAATCCTCTTCTTGTCAGTACTACATCCAAAGCTTCCACTTTCTTTGCATACATCCATAAGGTATTCATTTATTCAAACATTGCAAGTGGCTGAATAGAATAATTATGGCCATGTTCTGTTAATTATGTTGATGGTGACTGAAAAGAGTCAATATAGAGCTATTCCATGATAGTTAACACGAGAGAATCCAAGAGATTCTCAGTGAAACTGTCTCACATAATTTCTGGTTTTTAGTGCAGACATAGCAAGCAGTAGGGATTGACTTGAGAGTCAGGTGCCAACTTATGTAATAAGGAAAACAACCTGTCAAATCATTTGATAAGGATAGTGATGGGAATGGTGTTTGTCTGGTTTGCTATTCCAATGAAAGAATAACAGTTGAATAGAATCCCCCCCCCCCCACCCCCACCCCAAACTGTAT